CCTCCCTACCTCCCCACCTACACTCACCTTTACTGGCTCCATCCCAGACTCTTTGACCTGTCTGTATCCTCTCCATCTATCTTCTCCTCTATCCATCTTCTATCCGCCTCCCCCCCTCTCCCTATTTATTTCAGAACCCCCTTCCCCTCCCCCATTTCTGAAGAAGGGTCTAGGGCCGAAACGTCACCGTTCCTGCTCTTCTGATGCTGCTTGGCCTGCTGTGTTCATCCAGCTCTACACCTTGTTATCTATGAAGGATCCATTTATGTTTGAAGATAACGAGTGAAATTGGTGTAAAGTATGCATCCCCTGTCTGCAAGCTGTTGTACTTCACACACTGCTACAGAACTCAGTCATGTTGTCCTGTTGTGTCTCTGCAGGTATTCGCTGTTTGCAGTAGTCAATCATCAGGGAACACTGGAGAGTGGGCACTATACCAGCTTCATTCGACAGCACAAGGACCAGTGGTTTAAGTGTGATGATGCCATTATCACCAAGGCTAGCATAAAAGATGTGCTAGACAGTGAAGGGTGTGTATTGATGGCTAAGGTCTGAATAGTTTTCATCTGTAAACTATCAATTAACCACCTTCTCGTGTGCTCTCGCCTCCTCCATCTTCCCCCTTCTTCCCCTCCAACTCTGTTCCACAACCCCACCCCCAGCCCTGTACTTTATAATCCAGTATTCCCTTAAATTTCCAAGCACGCTGTACACTTCCCCTTTATGAAGTTAAATCTAAAAAGTGTTACTAACACCCTTGTTACAGGCTTGAGCCATTCTTCTGTTTCCAGATTTGATATTCGATTTTAATCTACTTTTGGTATATAGAATTCTCAATTAGTTGTTCCCCCAGCTTTCATTTTTGAGGAAGTAGTTTCAGAACCTTCGGCTTTCTTCTAGATTTTGGTTTGGCTTTTTCTGCTGTATGTTTCAGTGCACAGGCATCCTTGTAACGAACAACCAAAATTGTAAATCATGTTTCAAGTGTAGCCTTTACTAGTTCTTTAGACATGTTCATTGCCACCTCTTGTGCTTAGTGCCATAGATTTCAAAATCCAGTTTGTGAGCAACCTAGTATTCCTGTCAACAAAATGTAGCCATAATTGAAATTCCCGTTTGTTATTTTTCTTACTCATTTTTATGGGTAAACTTCAAATTCATCATCTTGTCACAAAAGTACCATTTTGCCAATCTGTCATGAACTCTCCTTCCATTTGTTTGTGACACTTGCAGTATTCACCAGGGATTTCTCTGCCAGTTCCTTTTGTGGACTCTGCATAAAATTTAAAACCATGTTTGACTAGATGTTATGCCGCTAATTTCTGTATTTACATGCCTGGTAGTGTCTGAATGGCATCAGTGGGTGTCTCCTCTTTACGAAATACTGTGGTTGTTCTTTTGTTCATGTTTTGTTACTATGTCAATGTAAAAATTTAAGTGTGCAATTTCTTTCTTTTGTCCATAGGTATCTCTTGTTTTATCACAAACAGTTCCTTGAATATGAATAGCCTTATCAGACTTGGGGAAGCCTTCAGAACGATACACAACCTACCTGAAACTCTAAGTACTGTCAGCACTGAGTGAACCTACTTGACACTGATTTTGGTCTGAAGCAGTGAGGCTGAACACCTAATGGAATGAGATGGGAGGAGGCATGGGTCATCCTCGCAGCCACAGCCCGCATGTCCGCAGGGAGGGGGGGAGGGTGCGCATCTCAGCTTCTGTTTCCATGGTGCTTGAGCTCCAGCTGACCAAGTGTATAACAACAATGATAAACCAACCCATTACTATGCGATGGGTCTGAGAGCAAATGGATGGTATTATTGACTTGCAGATACATTTCTGTGGATTTAGATATTAAGTACTGTACGAAACTAGTGGGCATCTATTTTCAGAAAATGGCCATTAAAACTGAATGCAGTACTGAGACAGGTTTTCAGTATGTACGCATTGCCGGAGGACTGCAGATTGATGCAACCCAACAGATCTCTATATCGGGCCCAGGTTTGTTTGCATTCTAGCTGTGTTCTAATTTTTTTTTTCTCCCTGTCAGAGCAAGATTCAGAGCAGCTGTGCCGTAATGAAACTGTACTGAACTTAGTATTTGTTTATTGTACAAACACTCGTGTTTCGAGATGGCCTTACATCACTGAGTGGTGGAAAAGTCTGTGTTCATGTCTTAAAAAATACACGCACATGCACGCACCACACACATGCACATTTGCAGTTTGAATAGCGGCCACAGTGACTGCTCTTGATTCTTCCCCTTGGTTTTTATTTTAAGTTATGCAGTCTGGGGTATATCAGCAGATCAATGTTTGGGAGCTTTTGCTGTTTTGTCAGAAAGCAGGATCCATGTGGCAGTCCTAGTGGCCTTCATTGAACGAAACAATGTGATCAGACCAGAGAGCCTAAGATGAGGGAATGCCAATGAAACACAGCTTATTCTGTTCACTTCTAGAATTTTAAATTCCGTTTCGGTTGCTTTTGGAATGATGATTCACAAGTAATTGAATATTCTGTACTTTATTATTGAGTGAGACAGTATGTTTGAGAGCAGCTGCTGTTGGGTAACTTGTTCCACGGTAACTGATCCTGTTTATTTCAGAATGCCACACAATGTGAACTGAAGACAAAGTTAGTACATGTTATGAGGTACACAAAAAAATTCATAAAGCAGAAGATTTAAATTATAATATTGTCAGTATGATCAGCAAGCTTCCTGGATGCCATGTTGCTCTTCTGAACAGTTCTCAAGTATGCCCTGGTAATATAGCATTGTCATCCTTACTGTACCAAATGTCTGACTATCCTGTTGTTTTTGCAACTTGAAGCTGAAATGCTTTGCTGCCTTCCATTACTCAAGAAAAATAGTTTGCTTTTTGAATGTTGCAGTGTTCTTCTGATCTACAATTTTGATAAAACACCGTAAGTAGATGATTGAACAGTCATTCAAATTTAAGGGCCCATGGCATTCCTATTCCAGTAGCTACAGCTCTGTGTTTTGTCACGGCATTCTCAATAGCCGCTAGCTGTCAGGAAAAAGTATCAACAAGTGCAAGGCACTGTGGAACTCTTAATTTCAACTTCTAGTGGTTCTGTTTAGTCATGTTAGCCAAGGTCAACTTTTTAAAAAAAGTTAATATTTTTGAGCTTCAATAGCTGGAAGTCTAATTGATGCATATAGGTAGCTTCATTCAACCAACACAAGCAGTTCAAGAGAAGTCCCAGATTGCTGCACTTCCTGTACTTTTTAAAATTATTTTGCTTTCCTTCATAGAAGGCAGGCAACAACAGTAATTTGCTTTTCTTGTTTATTTTGAGAATGTGTAGCTGCAATAGCCTTTTTTTAAAGTTAGCATATTATATTTCTCAATTTGGCTCTGGTTTAATTTTGGTTCTTGCACGTTTTCAATTTCATCAAACCCATTGCGGTTTGTCCTTGTTGAAATGTTTTCTGTGTCATTCATTGCACTTTATTTTAATATTCCTGAAGTTTGGTCATGGGGATCTTCTAGATTATCTTTGCAGGAATCATTGGTATTTTCTAGTTAGTATCCTGTGTACTAAAACTGACTTTGCTTGGGCTGTATAATCTGTTCCAAGCAGTTTGACCCCTTTTGTACTTGTGTTCATACCATTTCTGTGTTACCTTTTACGGTATCAGTAGAAAATTTAAATACTTGTTTACAGACCTGGAAATTGAGCCAGCTTTATTTTTCCAGCGTCATTTGAAGGTTATTCTCAATGTAGTAGTATATGGCAAAAGATATTTGGATCTCCAGTGCATGAGAAATAAACCTATGCATCAGGAAATCTGTTATCCCCAAATGAGGCTGCATTTAGACTATGGAAACACTTTCAGTTATCTTAATTTTAATGCTGTCACACCCCTTGGCCTTCCAGTGGTATCATTATTGATGTTGAGCAGTGCCTCACTTTTTTTTTTAAACCGTCAACAAAGTAAGGTTCCACAGTGCCTTGCATTACTCTAGACAAACAACTCTCAGCTCTGAATATCAGTGGGCAGAAAGTTTTTTTGCTGTGTTTCACTTGTGTTCCTTCTTCTCAAATGGCCTTCTAAGTATTGGGTTTTCTTGTAACTGCAGTGAAGTGTAGAACTTGTGCTGTTTACATGTAGGTGAATGCGGTGTAAGTACCATGTGGGCATTTCAAATGCCAGCCCCTGTGTATAGTGCAGTGTGGCAGAAACTAAGTATTTGGGTATGGCATGTGGAATGTCTACACGGCAGTGTAAGCTACATTTTTGAGAATTGTTTTCTCTGTGCATTTGAGGTCAAGTGACAAATTCCTCACTATTGTGGTAAGATATGTTCCCTGCATACATTCCCATCTGTACTTTTTAAATGTTACTGTGAAGTTGTACAATCAATGATTTATACAAAGATTAAAAAAGTTACAGATTTCATGCACACATTTGCCTAAAATGATGATGTAATAGCTTAATGACTGTCAACTGACTTAGACCTGAAAGCAAAGACAGGATTGCAAGTTTTGATAATCCTGTTATTATTAAAGGACAGCTGCTAATCATTAACTACAACATCATCCATTTCGGTAGTAAAGTTAGAGAACCTCCAAAGGTGTCATTGCCAGTGATTTTTTTTTTTTTTTTTTTTTTTTTAAAAAAACCCAAAAAGGAGAGTTCATTTCATTGATCTTCTGTCCTGCAATTATGCAAAAGTCTCGAGCATGTCACTTGGCCTTCAGAATGTCAGTCAGTCCTGCAATGACTGGCTCTTCATCAACTTCAACTGATGTGTAGTTCACCGTAGCAGAATGGATTTAAAAGCAAGAGGAAAGTGAAAACATCCAACTGTAATATGGACTGCTTTCACACACCTTGCCCTCAAGAGGCTGACAAAAAAAGACCAGCCTCAGCAGTTTATAGGAGATGTGCTCAGTTCATGAGCTTGGATAATCACAGTGCATTTTGGGAGTTGTTGTCCTTTTTTTATTTGTGGGTCTTAGTGTTCGATATACAAAAGCTGCTTAAATGAAACTGTTTCCCGGAATGCCAGGTGGTTCAAGTGTATCCCGTGTTAAGGGTCATTTGTTAATGCACTGTCCTCAGTATGAAATGTAAGGACTCCCGTTTAATATCCTCCGGACAGGGTAATGTATATTTGAAATCAGCCCCCACTGTGTTATTCTAGTTCTCCATTTGTGGTATTGCCTGCAGTACCAATTTCATTTGTAATCTCACTTGATTTTTTTTTTCATGTTCTGGAAAAGCAAAATGGCAAATAAATCATTTGACTATGGGAGAATGCCTAATGTTGTCTTCATGTTATGGAGACTTAGTTTTTGCGTTGCATTACATGGGTTTCCCTGTACTGGATTCCTGGTTTGCCCTGCAAGGGTTAGTGCAACAACCTCCCCACTTGCTGCATCCATCTGAAATACTTGGAAGATGGTTGAATCTTCTCTCCATTTTGGTAACAATGAAAATTGTGACAAACTTCCTGCAATGAAGCTAGAAATTTTAGCTGTCAGTCCTGCACCACACCAGTACTTTCTAGAATTGCCTTTTTACTGTGTATATTTCTGTATTGTACTTTATTTCCTGCTGTATCATTTAGCTTTGGATTTGTGCTGTGCTTCTTTCAAGAATCTTATTTTAATGTTTCTACTCATCCAATTTTAGCACTTCAACTTGTGGGAATATGTCTAATTTTAGTATTTCAAATTGTCTCCCATTTACGCAGAAAATAAGGGAAACTTTCAGCATTTAGCCAATTTCATTTCCTGTTTTATTAGTACAAAATTGACCACTCGTTTCCCCCCACCCCCCACTTACTTCCTTCCCAACATTATTTTCCCCCACCAGCATGCCAGGCTCTTTGCTTCTCAGTCATTCTGCCTTCCATTTATGGCATTTGCTATAATTTGTGCAAGTTGCACTGCCACCCCAAAACACTGAAACACTAAACTTGTATCTATCATGTTTGTTTCAGGCACTAATATAATAAAAACAATGACATGAGAGGTCTTCTCCCCACCTTTTCCTATGTCTTCACTAGTTTTTGGTTTGTATGTTGACCTTTTGAAATTTCCTGCTACTCGGGTAAGCCAACTGACTTAAACCATTTTGGCTTGTCTGTTGTGTATTTTTCCTATTAGAGGTATAAAATTTTCCATTAGCCACCTCCCCAGTCCTATGGTAGAGTTCCTTTTATGAGTGAGTCACCTTAGCAGCAGAGCCCCAAAGATTAATTAGCAAAGAATTGTTGTATTGGTGTAGCATGAAAATCTGAAGGTGCAATGCTTATCCAATAGGCGTAACAACACACTATTATTGCTTGGAAGTGGCATGACTAGATCTGCTTGTCAAAATACCTTGTCCAGTGACTACCTGCATGAATTCTACTTTTTGTTTCCATATCTACAATTCCAAGTTCCTTGCTGGGCTACTATACAACAGGGACTGCAGTTGTTTTTCACAAATGTATATGGTGATATTGGCTATTTGATTCCACATGCAATATGTTTTTCAAGACATGACTAAGTGGTATTTAGGAGCTGGAATTTTGGCCAATGTTGCTCCAGCCCTCCAACCCTATTTATGCATTCAATAGGCACAAAGGCATATAGTAATCTGCAGACTGAACAGCCAAAGGATTTTGATGCAATGTGGTTCAGTGCATTTGCTCACCCAACTATAACGACTGAGACTTGTATTCTTACTGAAGGCATTTACAATAGAAATGCTTGTCTTATGTGACTCCTATCCTTTCTTCTGTGCAAGCTGTCTGAAGATGAAGATGACTGGATCACCCCATTCCTCACCCACCCCCCAAGCTCTACTGTTGTTTGAGGAGAGCCATTGGCCATGGGCCATATTTTATCAGGATTTAAGATATTAAAGCAGAGGCCTAAATCTTGTCTTTTTAACATCCGAGTGGAAGGGTGTATAACCAGTTTTACTGTGGGAGTGGTGTTGGAGTCCAGTTGACTTTCAGTAGAATAAATGGCTTAAGCTTAAAGTCATCAATATTTCATGTGACACTTCTCCTGGAAACTCTGAGTTTCTTTTATGCTGGGTTGTGAAGGAGAACAGATGATCTGAAATGGCTTCTCTTTGTAAACTGCAGCAGAAGGAGGAACTCTTGTGTTATTTGCAGATGATACTTGGATGCACTGATGAGTTGCTGTGTTTGATGATACCTTTTGTTCTTTATCTGAGATCCTCTGATCTGAGAAGCAATAGCTACAAGTTTCGGATGGCTCAGATAATGATGGATTGGAGGATATACTTTGATTATGGTCATCTCCTTCTACACTCAGTTGTAGTAGTCCATCTGTTAGAACAGAAACAGTCTCAATATTGAAAAAAAAAAGCAGGCAACTTCTGCAAAATCCTTGAAGTTTCCCATTATCAGGGTAAGCCAACTGACTTAAAACACTTTTTGATTTGTCTGTTTGTGTATTTTTTCTATTAGCCACCACCTCAACCCTATGGTAGAGTTTCCTTTAGTTTTAGGACTGTAGAAATATCTTGCCACACTTTCCATTTTGATCTAGGTGTTAAACAGGCAGTTAAATGTACACATGTAATAGATTAAAATTTTTCCGTTTAGCTTTTAGGTTCCATTCACTTTAATTGCCAGTTGATCATTTCTCCAGTGCCAGAGATTTTTCTGACTTCAGATTCTTTCTTGAGCTCTCTCTTCCTTAACTCTGGCCTTATCTGTTTCAATTGTTATGATACCCAACCTCTTTCAATTCTAACTATAAGTGAGAAGCTAGTTGTTCCTAATGTTTCCAGTAACTGGCCGGTTGAACTGAGCTAATCAGCCTCCGAGTATGGTCAATTCCAACTAACTGCAAACCTTCCAGTAGTGCATCCTGATTTATGTGCAATGGACCAGACCATTCACCTGATTAATTCAAATATTCCATTTAAAGTTGGAGCACCAACAATGTTTGCTCACCCAATTAAGTCATCTTTTGGGTGAAGTTGACACTATTTTTAAAAAAAAAAGAAGAAAAAATTATTTTCCTGATTGCCTCCTGGCCTAGCACACACTCTCTAGCCATATTCTCATAACTTCTGCAGTCTGCATCAGATTAAGATGATAATGCATACAAACCTCCTTTAACCTAACTCGTCAGTATTGTCATCTAACACTTCATTGCTGTAGTCTGTAACAAAATCTGCATTGTCCCTTAGGCGATCTTGCCATTTGACTTGACCTTGTACCTAGCTTTCATGAGCACCAAGATCTCATAGTTCCTTCAAATGGGCGTTTCCTTGACATTGTATTTGTGATGCAACCTAATGCATAGGTTGTATAACTCGTCTGGTTTCATTTTACTGAAGATTACTGCTTTCACCAACTGTACTGCTCCAACCTTTTGAATGTTAGGTTTGACAGAACACTGCTAATGGCCCTTAAGAGCAAGTGAGATGTGATCCTTTGATAGCTAATAGAGCCAATAGTTTACATCTAAACAGAAGGGTTTATTAACATTAATTATCAGGATGTCGTCATCATGGAGAACAATGATGCACATTTTTCCCCCAACCCCTTTGTTACCATGATTTGTCAATGATAAATAACCATATTAATCACTGCACTACATATAGTGAAGTGTTCCCTCAACACTGTTCAGGAATTCCAAGGATTTCACCCAATGAGGAAGCAAAACAGTGCAAATCCAAGTTAAGTAGGTGTGCTCCTGGAGGTAACTTAGGTGATGGTGTCCCCATGAACCTGCTACCCTTGTGCTTCTAGGTGGCTGTGAAGTCGGTGTCGAAGAAACCACGTACCAGTGGTGGAGCAAATGGATGTTTAAGCAGGTGGATAAGATCGTAAGTGAATTTGGATGGTCCTAAATGGTGTTAAGCTTTTGGAGTAGTATTAGAGATGCACCTTTGTCGGGAGCAGTGAGATGACAGCACAGAGTTTATTGGCAGAGAGATCCAAGGATCATTATAACTGGAGTGAGCAACCCTAAAATGGATGGCTGACTGCCTCCTGTTGAATCTTTAATCATTCATACTTTCTTGCATTCCAGAAATTGCAGAAGCAGGGTATGGAAAACTGTTAGAAAGGAGGTGCAAGTTTTGATTTAAGATGCAAATTCCAGGATCTCTTTCAAGTCAATGCCCTGAGATAATTGAAAGTTTCATCAGTGCCTGCCTAACTTTCCAAACTTCAAACAGGCAGAGTGATGGTAATATACAAAAGGTGACATCTCAGATCAGACACTGAATTGTAGGTGTGAGGCCTTGTCCAGAATATATCTGAGTTTTAACCTGGAATCGGGCTGGCTTAGTTCTGAAAGCAAGAATCACTGAAACAACTATATAGTGGAATGAAGCTCGTTGATATCCCTATCGGACTCACCATGGATTAACTCTTCAGAATCAGTCTCATTCTTAGCTGCGGATCTCCATCAAGGACTGACACCTGAGTACCTCACTCTACTGCAAGCCCACGGATAACTTCACGATGCTGCACTTCTCTAGCCTCCACCCTCAACATTTTAAAAAAAAAAAAAGCCATCCCCTACAGATAAGCCCTGTGCATACATAGGATCTGCTCAGATGAGGAGGAACATGATGGACACTTGAAGGTTTTGAAGGATGCCCTCATAAGAACAGGATATGATGCTTAACTCGACCAATTCAGACGTGCTGCAACGAAAAACTGCCATGACCTTGTCAAAAGACAGACACAGATTACGACCAATAGAGTACACTTTGGCATACAGTACTTCCCTGGCACAGAGAAACTACATCAAGTTCTTCGCAGCCTTCAACATGTCATCCATGACAATGAGGTTCTTGCCTTCAAACAACCACCGAACCTTAAACAGACCATGATTCGCAGCAAACTACCCAGCCTTCAGGGCAGCATTGACCTCAACACCACACAACCCTGTCATGGCAACCTCCTGCAAGACATGTCAGATCATTGCCATGGGTACAACCATCACATACGTGGCAGATACTCATGACTCGGCCAGTCTCATCTGTTGCAGGTAAGGATACCCTGAGGCATAATATATTGTCAAGACCATGCAGACACAATGAAAATGGATGAATGGGCACTGCAACAATCACCAAATAGGAATGTTCCCTCCCAGTTGGAACACTTCAGCAGTCAAAGGCATTCAGCCTCCACTCTTCAGGTAAGCATACTCCAAGGCGGCCGTTGATATACACAACTGCACAGAGTCGCCAAGCACAGACTGATAGTGAAGTTCTGTACCATGAAGATGGCCTCAACTGTGATCTTGGGTGCATGCTGTGCTATAAGTGATACTATCATACATTCTGTTTCTGTAAGATCTTCCTTACTGTCATGTTTTAGACGTCATCACCTTGATTAAATTATCAACTCTTACCTTAATTAGTTTGTACAGTTTTGGATTACTTATTATGCGTGCACTCATGCGTGCTCTCTCTCTCAAACCTATGGGGTGAGTCATTTCCTATGCAATGTTTGTTTATTTACAGATATGTTCTATTTTGTTCAAGAAACATAATGGTAGTCAGTGTGGCAATTTAGAAATTCCTGCTTTTGGAATAAAACCAGCCTGCTTCCAGGTTAAATCTTAGACCGATTCTAGATAGGGCCTTATGCCTACAAGTCAGTGTCTGACCGCAGATGTCACCTTTTGTATGTTATTATCACTCTTCCTGTTTGAAGTTTGGAAAGTTAGGTAGGCACTGATAAAACCTTTATCTCAGCAGTGACTTGAAGGAGATTTTGGAGTTTGCATCTTAATCAATCGAAACTTGTCACCTACCACTGTTCTCCATACTTTCCAACATTCCAGAAATTGCAGAAGCAAATTATGAACGATTGAAGAATCTAACAGGAGGCAGTGAGGTAGTCAGTCAGCCAGCCAGCCAGCCATTTTAGGGTTGTTCACTCTACTCACGCCAGTTGAACAATCCTTTGATCTCTCTGCCCTTCATCTTTCTGCCTATAAACTGTGCGCACTCTCCTCTCACTGCACTGGCTGAAGGGGTTGCACTTCAAAAGCTTGTGATTTCAAATAAACCTGTTGGACTATAACCTGGTGTCGTGTGATTTTTTTATTTTTAACTTAGTGTTAGACTGGGGTGGACAATCACCTCCACATCAAAGTTGCACCCATTCAGACACCTGCGCAGGGTTTTTTCCATTATGAAGCCTGTTAGCTCATGGAAAGCCTTAAATTGAGGAAGTAAGCTACCAGCTCTAGAATAACCTTTGCATTCCACAACTGCTGGAGTGTTGTTACGTACGGACTCTCTTTGCAGAAGATGCAAATTGTCTTGTACTTTGCAAATGTTAAATGCACTACACCAAGCCATTGATTAGATCTTGCTACACCTTTGCTTCACCTGCTTCATTGAGGGAAAGAAGCTGATGATATTCTATGTAGGCAAATTCTACATTCTTACAAAAAATACTAGAACAGTGTATTTTATAAATGGTGTAAAGATAAAAATGGAAGGTATGAAGAATAGACCCAACAACAACATAGACCATTGGACTGCTGATCTCACATCTAGATACCTATGCATTCCAAATCTCAACTATGGAAAGTTCTCATTAGACTGACCTGGGACACTGAACATCACTCCATGGGAAGGGTATACAGACCTTGGGAGTGCAATGTATGTTTATTATAATGATCCTTATACAGCATAGGTTACATTGAGGACAGATCACACCAATTTCACTTGTATTCCATGGAATTTAGAAGATAAAGGAGTGATTTAATCAAAATTTTAAAGCTATTCTGATGAACACCATTTCTTGATCTATTGTGATTGAGAGGTCTAGGACTCCCAGACTGAAGATTACAACCAGACTCTTTGGTGCAATGAAGGGACATTCCTACGTACAAAAGGCGTTAGAGGTTTGGAATTCTCTCCTTAATGGCATTTGATGTTACATTAATTATCAATTTCAAATTTGCTTGTTGTAAGTTTATCTAAAGGTATTAAGGATATAGGGTAAAAGTGTGCGTGAAGTTTAGTTGCATACCAAAAATGATACTTTCCGAATTACAAAGCGGACTGAAGGAGCTAAATGACCTTTCTTGTTCTAATACTCTAATTCTGTTGCCAGCTGGATGACCACCATATCTACGTCTCAATTGCTGTGCGTTCCTCCTCCACTCATAGGACCTTTATTACCTCCAGTTCCATGATGGGCAGGTTGACAATAACTGGTGGGTTGCCTACCGTTTTCTACATTTCTCTGCACGAGAGACAGCAAGAAAGAGCTGCAAGTGTATGGCATGTATTGAGAGAATGGAGAGACAGTGTTTTGTTGAGGGGTGTTGAGGATGTCAAAAAGATGAGGACCGGCATCATTGTTTGGTCAGCGGGGTGAAGAGGTTTCTTGAGCGAGCACTGGCTAGTGTGTTGGTCTGAGGTGTGTCGTGCAGGAGAGGGTTGGGAAGATCTGAATCAGTGTGTTGGTAGTTTGAGTATGACATGCTGTGTGCCTGTTCTGTTCTGGTGAATAATTGTACCACTGTGATTGAGGTTAGTGTTCACCCTTTTGCTCAGCTTCTTAAATGGCTTCCAGCCGTGCTCACTTCTTAGAAGATAGCCTCCTTGGGAATCGAGAAGTCTTCTTGAATGTACATTTTTAAGTATTGAGGCTTTAACGGTCAGGTAGAGGTTGTGATCATTCCCACAGACTCCAGTTTGGTTGGGAAACCCAGGTACAAAATAGATGCATTTGCAGAGTTTAAAATGCAGAGATTAACCCACTGCACTATCTGCAGGTTTAGAATTTGCTAATCCTCTCTCCTGTTGGTCAGCTGACTAGTTAAAATTCTCCCGTGCCTTTTTAAATTTCTGTTGCAAATAAAATTAAGAATGTATGTTATTAATTACTGACCTTTTGAGGATGTATTAGTCTTGTGGATGGACTCAGTGCTGCATGTGGAAGGAACGCACCTCTTGAAACAGCAGGCTAACAGCATCAGAAATACACAAGTAACGACACAGACACTCGCTGCCAGAATCGCAAAGAGGAGGATGTTGGAATGATCTTCGTGCGAGAGACAGTGTCTCAGAGTAGTTTGGGTATCCACCTTTGTGTTTGTGATCCCTTCAAAATGAGGGAGAAGTATAATCAATTCCAAAATTGAAATGGAGTCAGATATGAGGATGCAGTGATACATCGAACAATCTCTCACGCTTACTTTATACCAAAGAGACAGCCTCACATTCTGCCAGGGCACTTTTTAAGTTGGGTGTTTGAGGACTCTGCTCAATTTTTCAGTGGTGTAATTTGGGTTAGAACATAGAACAGTACAGCACAGTACACGCCCTTCGGCCGACGATGCTGTGCCGAACTTTTACCCGAAACCTAAGGTCTATCTAACCTCCACCACTACCTTATACTATCGTCCATATGCCTATCTAATAGCTGTTTTAATGCCCCTAATGAGGCCGACTCCACTACCCTCTCCGGCAATGCATTCCACGCCCCTACCATTCTGAGTTAAGAACCTACCTCTGACGTCTCTCCTATATCAACCTCCACTCACTTTAAAATTATGTCCGCTCCTACAAGCTACCTCCACCCTAGGAAAAAGTCTCTGGCTGTCTATCTATATCTCTGATCCTTTTGTACACTTCATTTTAAAATCATTTTAAAAGCAGTCAGTGTGGATGTCTAATGATTCTTTGTATATGGGGATGAGAACTTGTAAAATTCTGGCAGGTAGGGTAAAGTTTCAGCTGGTTGTAGCCAGCAAGATCTTTTCAGTATGCTGCCTTAAAGTTGTCATCTCAGCTTTGATGGAATTAGCTTGAGTTTCAAGCATTTATGGGGATTTTCATTTTTTTATTGCAAATTTATGACAACCTTTATCACCATTACAATTTGAGCTCTGCTGTCCTTGACTTTAAACAGCTAATAACTGCTGTTACCATGATTTCTATTGTGGAAATTGGAGGGTTAGCCTGGATGCTATATTTGTGCAATCAAAATGAGAGTTTTTTCCGGGTACTCCCACCTCATTGTGTCCAATGAGGCCAATGTTCATACTTCAACTGTACTAAAGCTACTGTGACTAAGCTCTGCCAAGTGTTCTGTCTTGCAGCCAAACTCTGACTAAGCCTGAAGTCTGTTGCTATGACTCCAGTAGAGAGATTATGATGCCTTTCCAAACAATTGCAAGGAACGTCTCCAACATAGCTAATCTGCTACTTACAGTTGAGGCAAGGGACAGATACCCAGTTTGCGTAGAGTTGTTGCTTCCTATGGGAGAAAGAGAAAGCAGCTGGATGGGATGTAGCATGTTTAAAACTAGTGGAATCAATAGGTCAATTATTTGCTGTCAGCTGTGGGGATATGGTGAGTTAGCTAGGTGCTTGAATTTCTTTCATGTTTGCCTGAACTTGAAAGTAACACTTAATTTAATGCTGCTCTTTCCATCTCATGAACGACTTGCCTAAGTGCCAGTTGCTGGGCTGGGTGATGCTTCCCACAGTGTGCAAGACTGTTACTACAATCTCTTCATCATTGATATTGAGAAGAAACTGCAGTAAATGAAATGGACACCCAATTGGTTACAAAGCAATCCCAATTCAATGCCACAAATTCATTTTAAGAACGAATTGTGCATAGTAGAACTGTTTAACAATATGCAAGGGGCAATAGAAAAGATATGAAGTTGCTATTTGCAGAATGGTGGCACCACACTTCTAAATTCTGTGTCCTACATGTTGCCTTTTCACAACAGAGCAAGGCATCTCCCATAGGGCTGTCATGCTGCTTGCAAGACCTTCAGCTGCCTGGTTTTCCCACTGACTATGCATAACCTAGACCTTCAAGCAGAATACAGTAAAAGACGTGATGCCCTTAGTGCATCTGACTTTGGTAATAGCTTTGCCAGGTGTTGGGTATGGTGGCAGTACCAAATTGCAGAAAAGCTCGCACATCCCAAGTAAGCAGTTTTAGGATGGGCCTACAAAAATGGCCTTCATCTTTTATGCAGTGAAAAGCAGTCAGCAGGGGACAAACAATGCCCTGTCCTGTGCCCTGTATGGCTTTGTGCACAAGTGAGAGGTGCTGAGATCTTCTGTGGTACTCTTCCCAGGCACTAAAAGACAATAGGAGTGCAAAGGGCATTTGACTTGACTTCGTGCTCCTGTGGATGTCTGCAAACTATTTCCTTTTTGTCAAGTTCTGCTGTTCCTAGGACATCACATTGACGCTGCCACCTCCATCCGTTACATGGTACCTCTGCAGCAGGATGCATTTCTGCTTAGCAAACAGTCACTGTTCTTTTCTATACTTATGAAAGCAGAGACATCCATGACTCAATCACTGGGATAGGCTGCCAACCATAGTACAGAAATTTCAATCTACCTTGCTAGTAAGGATTATCATTGCATTAAAAATCAAAATGGTGGAGAAACTCAGCAGGTCTGGCAGCAACTATGGAGAAAGAAAAGTGTTAAAGTTTTGAGTCCTGTATGACTCCTTTTGGACCTGAAGGGTGTCGAAAAATTATGGTCGTGTGGCTGTTGACAGAGGGGTTGGAGGAGTGAGTAGAACAGATGGTCATAGTTCCCAGAGCGTAAGTCAAAGGGAGTGCTAATAGCTCAGAATAAAAATATAGATGCAGCATGGGTGCTAATGGTACATGTAGATATTTAAAAATATATTTGCTTTGCTGAGAGCAGACCCATGCAAACAATAGTTGTTCTGAGGGGCCTGAGAAAGTGTGGTGGAGGAGGAGGAGCAGATGATGTAATCAAGATGGAGGACAGTTCATGCTCTTGAAATTATTAAACTCGAATATTCAGTCCTGCAGGCAGTTAAGTCCTTGTGTGGAAGATGAGGTCTCGTTACATCTTTTGTGTTGAGTTTCTCTGGAGCACTGCAGCAGGCCTAAGACAGAAGTGTTAGTACGATAGTGAAAGGGTGTACTGAAGTGGCACGTAATTGGGGGAAAAAAAGTATTATTCTTAAGGACAGAGGAGGTCTACAAAGGGATCATCCAGTAAGACCAAACCAAAAGGTGGCTGCATTGAGAGTGGCAAATGCAATAGATTAAATAGCAAGGAATACAAGAAAACCATTGCTTTCCCCTGGTAACTATGCTTAGAACTTGGACACAAAGAAGGAAGGAGATGAAAGGACACGTTTTTCACCTTCTGTGATTTACATGGAGTGAGATGGAAGAGAGGAATGTTAGGAGTGGACTCCTTGCTAAGGGGCCAGTCCCTGCAGAATGCTGACAAGGGTGGGGGTGATATTTGGTGGCATTCCTGCTGGAGATGGTGGCACTTCTTTCTACTTGACCAAGTTCCTCATTTAAAGTAAAAGACTAGGGGAAACTAGTGGAGAGGAAGCTGTGAGGGGCAAGTGCTGGGAATGGGTCCAGAACAGCTGAGGGCCCTGTCAACAACAGTTGGGGGAACCATTGGCTGAGGATATTTCAAAGGCACCTATGTGAACGGTAGTATCATGAACAGATGTGATGGAATAACAAGGAGAATGGGCAGGAGTCCTTTACAAGAAGGGTGTGTGGTAGTGTAGTCAAAGTAATTGTAGGAATTGTTGGGTTTGTAATTGGTACTGGTAGCCAGCCTCTTCCCCAAACTCCCAACAGAAAGTAAGGGAATAATCTGAGATGGATCAGATGACAACAACAGAAGGATGAAAATTGGAAGAAAATTTTGAATTTTAATGTTATCACTGTATCAGAGAAACAGTGGTGGGGGTGGGTCCCCTGGGTAAGACCTGAACAAGGCATATACTGCATACCCCACAACCAGACAATGTAACTGGGACCCTTGGTCATACATTTTGATCCTGAGAGAGTGGGATGAGCTAAATGGGAAATGTTCAAAGTGTGAGCAAGCTCAGCCTGGCAAAGAAGGGTAGTAGTAGATGGAGATTATCCAGGCCTCCTCCTAGAAAGAAGCAGAGCGACTTCCCCACAGAAAGCATGGGAATGAATATGTAACAGGATTATGTGTCCTTGGTGAAGAATTGTCTGTGTTTTCTGGTGTGCTGTCCACTATCGTGCAGAGGCAGAATGCCATCTCTCAGATACTTCCATTTTCTTCTGAAACTTATCCTTATTACTGACCATCAAGCTGTTCCCAGAATTGTCAATGACCTCAGCTCCTCTGCAGGTCTCTGTTCAACTGCTTTCCATTTCTCAGCTTCCCAATACTGTACCTTTTTTTTTCCAGAAATTCACCAACTGGCCTGCCTGCGAAGATCCATCCTTATACCAAGATTACTTGGCATGCTATTTGCTACTTTCATGGATGAGAAATCAGGCCAACCTTTGGTGGGAACATGTTGGGGAATAATTCAAAATGTGTGTAATTGATGCTATGAATTTGAATGTGTAGGTGCTGTGCTATGCATTTGTGCTCAAATTTCCCAGCATCATAAAATCATGGGTTAAAATATTTTGTCACAACTCATCATTCTTCAAATCGGCATTGACACTATTTGGTTCTGATTCTAAATCTCAACCTAAGTGAAAGCATCCTGTCAATTTCTTATACATGTCTGCTGAAAAATTAGTGGAATCCAGACTGCTAAAACTAGCATTTCATCTACTTGGGCTACATATATCCAGCAGTCTTAAATCTATTATTCCTCTGCAGTACCAGGTTTACCTGAAATGTAGTCTAAAGGCAGTGTATGATCACCAAGCAGCTTATCCGCATTCAGTGCTGCAAGTGCTCAGATATACAGGGACAGAGAACTGGTAATGAAAATAAACCATAACAACACACAACCATGTCACTTGAGTGCAATTGACTATAAAGTTGCTGTACTGCCAGAGGATTACAAGAGAGCCAACTGGTGATGAGTTTAACCTGAGGGTCACCATGATCCAGTTGAGGGGTGAGATTGAGAAAGTGGGACATCAGCCAGTGAGAAAATTAAATCTGCAGTGTTGGTTTCACTTCGCTTTGCAAACAGCCATTCAACCAACAGAGTTAATTGGCTATTATTGATATTATAAAACTGCTGGAAATGTCTTTGTGATAGTCCAGTACATGAATACAGTACTCAGGATGGATATATGTACAGCGCAGTCCTGTGCAGAAAAGCACTGTTTGTAATAGCTAACATAATCAAGATCCTGATTTATGTACTTATTGTGCTTACAAAAATGATAATTTTTTTTTTACTAATTTCTTACCATAGCAAATTTCTGAGCACTGTTGAGGATGTTGCCCACACACATCTGAGCACTTGATGCATTTGCGCAGCAGTTTGTCCCAATAAAATCCTGCAGCCTCATTGCAGCTCCAACTTTCTGATAAAAAGTTAGTTACAAAAGGCAAGCAAGTCAACTTATATTTTCCATAGATCATTTACTGCTATAAAACACAAATAATAAAAGAATTTGAGGAGAAGACTGAGGAGTAAATTTTCATCTTTGCCTGGACTGTTATCCATAGGTGTGAATCTCTGTCCCATTCATTTCAACACAAAAATCAGGTAGATTTAACAATGGATATTTGACCTGCTCCATTAGATTACTGATCAGGTAGATAAAGGTAAAACTCTATGTAACTGTTATAGCTATCAGGTTAGCATTTAGGAGCTGGGGTATTCTTCACTGGATAAACATTGATATTCAGGTGATATAATTTTTAAAATGAAGGGAATAAATTCTGTTTAGATGGATAGGTTGAGTTAAATTGGGAAAAGATATTAGGATGTGCTCATGTCAAAATACAAAAAAAATTAATCTAAGGGTGGGTGGTATTTAATCTCAGGGAATCATGAACTCTGGAATAGATTGCTGTATCTGATAGGTATGGATTCACTTCTGCTTAGCAAGAGAGCTGAGCAAGTTCTGTAGAATTGAAAGCATAAAATAGAATAGAATTAGCTTCATTATCACGTTACCATGTTACAGGCACATGGGAGTAACTGTAATTAGTTGCTTCTGTCTCCTAAAGCCTGTTTTCAGCAGGATTGGTAAAGAACATCAAGAGTTTTGCTTAGAGATAGTAAGAACTGCCAATGCTGGAGTCAGAGATAACAGTGTGGAGCTGGAGGAACACAGCAGGCAGGCAGCATCAGAGGAGCAGGAAAGGTGACGTTTTGGGTCCTGACCCTTCTTCAGAAAAATGGTTTCACTTAAATTGGCCTAAAGTTTTACTTCCTCCTCTTTCTGCCAGAACTTTGCATGATTCGATTGGGGTGGGTTAGATTGGTACAGCCTGTAGACACATCAACTAGCTTTAGTTTTCCTGTCTTTTTTATTGTCCAGCTTGTAATTGAGTCCTGCTGATGGAATTCTACCAGGTTAGAGGATACGTGTAGAGTCAGAAACAGCCAAAGATTTGATCTTAAGCCTGCTGATGTTGGCTTCCTTCCTTTCTTTCTTTGGTACTGAAGATTGGAATTTTTTTGGCTTAACTTCAAACAAAAAGGCTTCAAAAACGTGTAGTGAAAGGATACATACCGCAATATGTCTTGCACGCACTATGCCAGTTATGCCCACAATTTGTACACTTGGCGCATCGTCGTAAGAGACTATCCCAGAATTCATCATCTGAACAGCTGCCCATCCTCTCTCCAACAAGAGGACAGTGGGATCTTTAAAATCAATTAAGATTATTTTGTTACAGATTGATTAAAATAAGTTTCATAGAGCCTTTCATATCCTCAACATTCCAAATAGCAGCACAACAAATTTCCTGCAAAATAAGCTTTGCAATTATATTCAACAGTGAATGAGATGGTAGGCCATTTAATCTGATCCGTGATGGTGTTCAACTCATTGATTTGCAGTGGATAGATAAAGAGAATACAATAGATTATTAAAAGTTTCTGACAAGGTGATTCTTAAGAGACTTGGTTACAAAAATGATGGCACATTATATTAAAGAGATTGTATTAGTGGAAAATGGTTGTGGGGTCAAAACAAAATGAGTAATTCTAAACGACTATTTATAGATTGACAGCATCAAGTTAATATCGTCTGTAGCATAGGTGCTTTGGGCATCTTTTTTGATTTCATGTAAATGCTTTGAAAATAGGCATGAGGTATTATGTTGAAATGTATCAATATTTGGAGGCATTACAAGCAATGAAAGAAGTGTGAAGATTTCAATAAGTCACAGATGGCTTGCAGAGTGGGAAGAGATGTGACGCACAAGAAGTGTGAAGTATCATATTTTGGAATCTGGCAGTTGCTTATTTTAAGAAGGAATTTATTAAACATTGAATCTGTTTAAAAAATGTGGGATAAGGGCAGGGAAATGAGATTAAATTGGTTGTTTCCAGATAAGGAGACAGTATATGTGCAAAGACATCTTTTGTGTTTTCAATTATTACTGTTTAATTCTGAAGTAAAACCAAAACTTATGGAAGTGGAATATTTAGTCCTAGTAGATTCCAAATGCAGCAACCAATCTACATGGTATATTTTTGAATTAGGTTAAAATAGACCACACTTTGACCTTGCTAGGTGCAAGAAGGACAGACTTGAGCATTTAACATTTCACATTAATGTGAAATGGTTTCAACTTTGGCCTGGTGCTTAACTTTGTGGATAAATTTTGCAGGTTCCACCTCATTGAAAGTGCCTTGCAAGAAATTAACAGGAGTTGTTGCTATGGCTGGGATCGCTTACAGAACTCTAGATCTTGTATTCAAGTGAAATCCTAAGTGGGAGTAAAGCTGAGTGAATTGTACCTGCTTGATAGGTTGACCATGTGTGTTGATATATTGAGAGATCGTTACACAAAATCTGCAACAGCCAATAATGTTGCTTTCAAACAATTTATTTTTGTCATCTTATATTTGCATTGGATTTAAATGTAGATTGATTTTAACTTGCTATTGCTTTCATGTAAATAGCACCATTGCATAATCATGTTTTTTTTAATCTTGCAGATCTTTATATTAAATCCTGAACTGCATTCAGCTGATCAACAGCTATAAATCTTATTGAATTTTGTTCCGGTATTTATAACTAACCTCACCAAGACGTGCATTTTCCCCTAAGTTGTTTTAGAATTTCATTCCACTCTTGGTCATTTTTTGGTAGATCAGGGTAGATTGTATCTCAAACTCTTCCATGAATTAATGTCATGTCCTGTCTTTGACCCACCTTTTCAGTGCCTGGACTTAGTGAGATATCCACTCCTATCCAGGTAGGTACAAAGGCAGCAGATTGAAATGATGCAAATATGGCTGTGCCATATTTCTTGCCATTTACCCGATCTTCTGCTCATTGGAGCTGCCTATTCTGCACCTGTAGCTCTAAAAAGGAGTCTAAGATGGTGTTGTTAACCTTCCAGGTTTGACCTAGGTATTTCGGAGGTTGAAGCATAATTTTCTGGACAGTGCTGCAAGGAGAAAAGGTCATACGGATGTAAAAAAGAAAACTTTTCTTTGAACAACTTTACAATTCATTTTAAAAATAAGAGGTTGTTTTTCTGTAAGTCAAGAACCATTGAATTATATAAGAGTCCGTTTGCTTTCCTGGAGTCGGAAAGCAGAACTACATGGGGACGGCTCTGTTGGATGACCAATGGCAGGAAGGTGGTCAGGCTGAAACATTTAGGAACATGTCTGGCTGGAGATAGCAATACTATTTGGAAAATAGTAGATTACTTATTCATTAACTCCAGAATGTTGCCATTCACACACACCAGACTGTGAACAAGCTGTGCAGAGAAAGCTTTACACAGCATCTAATCTTTGGACCTGCCCTGGGATTGTTTGCCATTGTGGTTTGGAAGGAACTTTTCCATGCATCTAATTCTGTACCTGATCTGGTGTACAAGGTCCTATATCGTGCATCCACTTTTTTTCCTAATCTGCATGGTTATTTGACCATAGTACAACCCTGGAATCCCTATGTAGGCCAACACAAGTTGTCCTTTTAATGAGCAAGAAAATATTACAGTGCCCAGCAACAAGGAAAATTAGATGGGTTGTTGTTTTTATCCAACATGTGCTGTTGCTGATGTGAGTGCCTGTTTTGTTGGTGCACTCATGCTAATCTCATTGTGAAACATGATAGCCACATAAATTCATAGAAAAATAGAATAGTCTGCATAGTAATTTTGAGACGCCTGGTATTACACTGGGTAACTTGATAAGAAGGACAAAGCACGTGCACCTTCTAAATGTCCCTATGCATTCACCATTTGCTACTGTTAAAGAGCAACTCAAATTATTCAAAGCATCTCCATGAACATATCCTTCATCCTTACAGTTTTTTATCCTTTTCTATACTGAACCTGGTAGTTATTTACTAGGTTTCTTTGATTTTGATTAGCTCATTAAGTGTGAATCCTGGAATTCAGGCTCGGACAAGACCTGATGATAATACAAAATAGAGAAATAGGCATCTTGAGCAGTAATAAGATTCGCATACTTCTCTCAACACACCATTTTTTGTTTTGAAGCTCAAAAGATAACATCCCCTACTGAGATAAAGGGGCAATATTACTTGGATTCCATTTTTTTTCTCTAGAAACTAAAAGTGTGGAGCCTGTTACCTCCCATAATCTTGCACTTCCTTCGACATGCTGCCTGCTTTTGAAACCCAGGCTTTGAACAATGTAATCATTGCAGCTTTGCATACCTTAATCATACTTCCTGAATCTTTTAAATATGGTTTGATTTGGCCTTGCATTCTGAGTTCTCACAAGTAACGTATTGCTTTGTGATATCATTTCAATCAATATTATATGAACTTCACCTTTCAGAAATTTAAATAAAGTTTAGAAAAAGGATAAGTTCTTGTTAATGATCTGACAAACTAAGCAAATTCTTCAAGTTCTAATGGCATGATTGGATATAAAAGAGTTAAATATATTTAAGATAAAACAAAACGGACTCCAAGAGTTGGAAAGACTCATTACAACAATACATGTATCGGAAAAAATGTGATTGAATTCAAAGAACCAAAGTGACTTTGAGAATCCTACTGATCATTTTTAATCTAAGTTTCTCTGATTATAGGTTTCAGATTTTAATGCACTCTATCTATTGAGTGTCAGTTGGGGCCTCTTGTTAAATTAGGGATTGTGCAGGTGTCAATGATCAAGAGAATTTCTACTTGTTTTGAGTGAATATCACATCAAACATCTATTGTAAAGTAATGAAGTAAGTAATTCAAGTAGTTGCATTTGTTTTGCTAATAGGAACAACAAAAGTAATATTTTGTAGGAGAATCTGCCCTGGATTATGAAGTCTAGATGTATCATCTGCTGCTTTTTTCCAGGGTTAAAATTAGCAAAAGGAAAATGTTACATATTGTTATAATTAATCAAAGATTTCGATGAGAATACGATTAGCTAATATTTCATGGGATCACCTTCTGTCTGTAGTTCAAGTAAAAAACCCACAACCACTCAGAAAATCCGGTGTTAAGTAATAAATACAGCCTGCCACCACCTCTTCCAACTTGAAAACATAAACAAACATAAAAGATAAATGGAATAGAGAATTGCTGCTTTAAATGGTTGTTAGTAAGCTGAAGAGATGAAAGAAAAATGACTCATCTGAGGGTTTTTCTTATCAAGAAGAAAGAATGCTAGTGTGATTGATAAATAACAATTAAAGATAGTCTCAGTCATGTTGCCTGCATCTGTTGATGAGCCAATTAATTGTGGAAGAAAAATGATCATTGCTGCATGAGAAATTCATTTTTTAATTCCAAAATGTGCTTATGGAGCCTGGGATCCACTTCACTGTTACCAGACCCGAAACGTTAACTCTGTTTTCTCCTCCACAGATGCTGCCAGACCTGCTGAGCTTTTCCAGCAACTTTGTTTTTGTTCCTGATTTACAGTATCCGCAGTTCTTTTGATTTTTATCCACTTTACTCAGATTCCATTCCTGAACACACTGCAGTTGACATTAATCCAATAGTTGTGTTGTAATAAAGGTGTATAGTCTGTCTGTGCCAGACTGCACACTTGCAACAATAGTGACTCCCCTTTTTGTTGTTCACGGTTTAGATTTATGGTTAGGTAATTACTGTATATCTGGTTTGAACTTGGACACAACTGAAATGCTTTGGTATTTTTTTTATCCTTCCCTCTTTCTGCCTTATTGTAGGGACTTCCTAGATAGCTACCCTAACACAAATATGCTTTGTTAATTTGACTCCTGAAGCCAACTAGTTTTGGGTTGTATTCGTGCTGGGAGTAAAACATGCTGTGGAATCTTTCAAAGTGCTACCTGACCCAGATTACTTTTGTGATGTTCCTTCCATTTTCTTTTGGTGGTTATGTCAGCTGCGGTATTTAACTAACACATCAATATTTTATTTTTCGACCTGAGTTTTATTTTCTGCACTCTGTGCAGTGTACCTATTTCCTTCTTCAACTTTCACCAATATAAGCAAGATCCAAATAACTTAAGTTATTCAAATGCATCCTGTAAGACAGGAATAAAGCAAGCTGGAAATGTCCAGGTCCAGCAGCATTCTCTGAGAGAGATTGAGTTAATGTTTCAGATATGAGCTTTCCACAAATGCAGATATAACACTTGCACTGGTCAGATATTCCATTGTATATATGATCTTTAAATGCAATCAGTGAAACTTCTTTTGGCAAAGGACTGAAATCCTCGGTGCTTTGGGGAAGGGCTGATTCAGTGAGGCAGCTGTATTTAAATAAAACTAAATCAAAATCCCAGTGAGATGATGCAAATTTGTTTTAAGTAAAGAAATTTTGTGGAGAGGGAATCTAATAGTTCAAACGGATCCTTTCAAAAATGGTTAAATACTGTTTTCTTAACATTTGACATACTAACAACATGCTCAAGAACTTTATACATTTGGATATGGTACTCACATTCTCTTGGTTCCAGGTGGCTATCTTCTGCTGTTTCTTAGTACATTTGCCTGTGTCAATCAGAATGTGAAACTTCTCGTTTTAACAGAAGGAAGAACTTCCAGGGGCTTTCCCTGATCAGCTTACAGCAAATTTCGAGAGACTGAATTGAAATGCAGATACTTTATCATGAATTTGTGCATATTCATTAGTCATTTAACCATTTTGTAAAGATTTCAAATTCTTGCAGTACTATTTCTGACAAGTGCAGACGTAAACTAAGTCTGACGGTCAACTGAAAATGCCAGAAACAGTTTGACGTGTGGACAGAATTTAATTTTACTTAAAAGAATCAATAAGCTGTAATCTTTTTTTCTCTTACCCATTTGTCGTTGATCTTCTGGAGTTGAAACAGAAGCTATTGAATACACAAAAAGAAATATAAGCCTGCTTCCCTTTGGTCAATGTCAAGGATAACTACTGCAAACGTGGCTCAGGATGTACATCAGTAACCCACCACTATGAGGAACAAGCAAAGGGCTAAGTTCGCTCTTGAGCCATTCCAGAAAAGTGGTGAGGGAGACTCAAAAAGTGAGGAAGGTGATTAGGGTGGTATCTCCAACGGCTCACATTTTTGCCTGCAATGCCGAAATGCCCTTCTTCTTGCACAGTTGATGTCAGTTACACCCTTGCATCCATGTCACTGGAAAATGCAATGGCTCTTCTCATCCCTCAGATCCCATTTGCTCACTGCCGCTGATTGCAAATTGTGTTGCGCCAATCAGCTACCTCTTCGACTTCTCCCTCTGCATTGATTCATATAACTTCACATCTTCTCTATTACCAGCACAAAACTTGACAGGCTATTTATTAAACATTCTTTAAGAATGAACAAGAAGGAAAGAAGAATAAAAGAAAGTGGTGGAGGGTTGTTTTTCAGGCTGGAGGCCTATGACTAGTGATGTCCCACAGGGATTGTACTGGGTCCACTAGTTTTTGTCATTTATATAAATGATTTGGACAAGAATATAGGAGGCATGGTTAACTTTTTGGATGACACCAAAATTGGTCTTATAGTGGATAGTGAAAGTTATGCAACGTTAGAAATCTTGAGCAATTGGGTCAATGCGCTGACAAGTGGCAGATGGAGTTTAATTTGGATAAATGCGAGGTACTGCATTTTGATAATACAAACAAGGACAGGACTTGTATAATTAATAGTAGAAGACTGGGTAGTGTTGTAGGACAGAGAGACCAAGGGGTTCAGGTACATAATTCTTTTAAAGTTGTATCACAGGTAGACAGGGTGGTAAAGAAGGTGCTTAACATGCTTGCCTTCATTGCTTAAACCTTAGAGTATAAGAGTTGGGATGTCTTATTGACATTGTACAGGATGTTGGTGAGGCCTCTTCTGCTTGCAGTCTAGTTGCCCTATTACAGGAAGGATATTATTAAACTGGAGAGCGTTTGGAAAAAACTACCAGGATGTTGCCAAGAATGGAGGATTTGAGATCTAAAAATAGACTAGAACGACTGGGACTTTTTTTCACTTGAGCATAGGAGATTAGGTGACTTTATTGAGGTTTATAAAATTGATGGGTATGGAAAAGGTGAATGACAAGGGTCTTTTTCCTAGGGTGGGGAGTTCAAAGCTATGGGGCATATTTTTATGGTAAGAGGAAAAAGATTTGAAAAGGACATGAGGGGCAACTTTTTTTTTGCACAGTGATTTGTGTGTGGAATGAACTGCCAGCGAAAGTGGTGGGTGCAGATACATTTACAATATTTGAAAGACATTTAGATAAGTTCATGATTTAGGTAAAGTTTGGGAGAATGTGGGCCAAATGCACGCAAGTGGGACTGTTTTAGTTTGGGAACATGGTCAGCATAGACTGGTTACACCGACGGGTCATGCAGCATGGAAACTAAGTCTATGACTCCAGTAACACTTCCTGAGCTAAATAAGGAACAAAAACATACTGACGTTCTTGTGGCTGTTCTGCTACTCCTACATAGTGCTTTGGCAGAGGTGGAGGCAAGCTGCACAGATTCCTATTCTGATTGCTCATGAGTATCTCGGCAATGTTCTCTGGGCTTTGGAGGTCCTAAGCTTCCTGCAAAAGACTGCTCCGCCTGGTTGGGTTCAATTGGGTTATCCCTGCTTTTTATGGACTGGACAACCCAGGCAATTTTCTATATTGCCATATAGGTGCCAGTGAAGTATTTATGCTAGTTTAGGTTTGCTACAAGTGCTGGATAGAAAGTCTTCAGTACTTTTGCCAGAATGTCCTCAGAGCCCATAGACTTTGCAGTCTCCAGTGTCTTCAGCTGCTACTTCATATTACTTGGAAAGGAGTGAATTAAATTAGCTGAAGGCTAGCTTCTGTGATGACGGGCACCTCAGGAGGAGGCCAAGATGGATCATCCACTTAGTCCTTCTAGCTGAGGATAGTTGCAAAATCTTCAGCCTTATCACTTGCATTGAATTGATGAATAGCCCCTTCATTGAAGATGTGTAGATTTGTGGAGCTTCCTCCTTGATGTTCACCATCATTCACGACAAGATATAGTCGTGCATTCGAGTTTAAATCCGATCTGTTGATTTTGATCTGTCTATATTAATAAATATTAATCTGTTTAATATTCTGTTTGAACATGAAGACAGGACTTGATCTGCACAAGGACTGCATTGGTCATTGCTTTCAAAGCTCTCATGAACAGACTGTGTGACAGATTGGTGAGTATGAGGTCATCTAGATGCTTCCCTTGTTAGATCCCTTGCTATGTGTCGCCAGTCCAGGCTAGTCAATATGGCCTTCAGTACACCACCAACTCAGTCAGTAATTCTACTACCGAGCTACTCTTGGTGATGGCCATTGAAGTCACCCATGTTCTGAGGGTAAATTCTGTGCCCTGGCCAGACTCAGTGCTTCCCCCAAGTGCTATCCAACATGGAGAAGTACTGATTCATCAGCTGAATGGTGTGGTAACTGGTAATCACCAGGAGATATCACCTCTCTATGCTTGACCTGATGCTGCAAAACTTTATGAAGTGTGGAGTCGATGTTGAGATGCGTGTATTCAAAGTGGTTTGTAGTTGTGCTTAATTTCCCACCTGTTCTTCGGGATCAAACTTCTCCCCTTTGATGTATGAATGGGGAAGTGTTATCAGAACCTATGACTCAAAAAAAAATGCAAATTTACAAAAAAAAGGATTGTTCAGTTTGACAGTGTTTCAGCAATGTTTGGAAAAAATTATAAATTAATTTCTTAGTCTGTGAGCCCTTTGAATTAGTTTGTTGCAGGGGAGTTGATTTGATAGCTTTCATAATGTGACTCAACCACAGCATAAAAGGCCAAATTAGTCAGACAGAATACGTGACAATGAAGGGGCAGGGGATTTGCTTTCTTGTTCACTTTTTCATACAGAAAAGATTGTGTGTGAAACTCATTTGGAGCTGTGCAACTAAAAGGGGAAGCCTCAATGCATAAATAGAATCGTGAATCGCAACCTCTCCACTCATAGAGGAAATGAAATGATTCACATTGTGTTAGTTTTAGCTGCATTTCCTGCTAGCAAAATTAGCTTGAAACAAACAAAACAGCAATCTTTAAAGCTTCTTTCCGTTTTTCAGCTGCAGACAATTAATGAAGCATTGGTACAATGAATAGATTTTTAACAGTGTCGAAATTAATGCACAGAAATCTTAATTCCACAATGAAATATGTCTTGCAAGATGTTAAAATGGTTAAATTCATAGAATGGAATCTTATCGGGGTCTGAATGATATGGGCTATGATGAGATTTGTGGTACGACTAGGTGAGAAGACCATCTCAATATTGCGAGTACCTTGTTTTATCTTTTTTTTGTTTTTCACAAGTGGTGTGGCAAGTTGCCAGTGGAGAGGGATTATAGCTTGTTAAAAACCTTGTTGACAGTCAAACTGTTGTCATTAATATTCAGCTTTCTATTTAACTAATCTCTCCCATCTGACCCATCAAGCTAGACAGCGAGAAAGCTGGATATGGAAACGACAGCAGGTGCCTGAATTCAGCTCGCTGCTTACTCTATGTTGGACATTGAACACCAACATCTCCAGGCAATCTCCATGGGCACTCGCCATGCACACCCCCAATCCATGGACATTGGCATCTAATATGTGTCTTCACCTGAGAACCCTCATCATGCATCTCTGATTCACTTACAGGCTACATCTGTACTTCAATTCTGCACCTCAGGATGAAATGACAACCGTTAGTGTCCTTGCTGCAGTAATACAATGTGTGCTCAGAGATATACACCAACTGGACCAGGCTGCATCTCTGGGCTCTTCACTCACTGTCACAGCACTCACTCACTTTGAGCCTACCTCGAGGCTCACAGCATTTCTACCATACCTTGCCTCGCCTTTTTGTGCTTTAACATTAAGGGAGATGGAAATGTGTGGCACAACTGATTTGATGCAGATGGTGAGGTGTCCTAAGTAAGTGATGAGGCAGCGTGAGGGTATGCAGGGTTAGTGGAGCCACAAGGAGGGCTGAATAACAGCAAGTGAGGATAGATGCTGCAGACCCAACAGCAAAGACTGAGTGAGTGTGGGGTGTCTGAGAGCACAGGTTCCAATACTTCCCCTTTACAGTGGACATATCTCCACAGTTATAGGAAGGATATTATTAAGCTGGAGAGGGTTTAAAAGAGATTTACTAACATGTTGCTGCTTATAGAAGATTTGAGTTATAAAGAGAGACTTTTTTTCGGGAATGTAGGAGGTTGAGAGGTCATCTTGAATAAGTTTATAACATCACAAGGGGTATAGATAGGGTTAATGGGAGTTGTCTTTTCCCTAGGATAGAAGATTTCAAGACTAGGGGCTACATTTTTAAGGTGAGAGGGAGAGATTTAGAAAAGACATAAATGGCATCGACTGTGGTTCGCTTGTGGAATGAACCTTTCATGAGGAAGTGGTGGCTGTGGGAACAATTATAATGTTAAAAGGACATTTGGTTAAGTACATGAATAGAAAAGGTTTGGAGGGATATGGGCCAGGAGCAGGCACATGGAACTAGCTTAATTTGGGATTATGTTTGGCATGAACTGGTTGGACCCAAGGCACTGTTTCTGTGTTACATGAC